TTGGAACATGTTTTTTCAGGTTGCACCTGGAAGTGGTGGGGTTGGAGATGGTGCTCAAGAACCAACAACAGGCAACTGGCGAGGAATGTTGAAAACTTCAAAAGCAGAAGAGTTATTAGCTGAAGAAAAATCAAAACCAATTCCAATTATGCCAGCCAGTCCACAAAAAGGCCATGCTGTCAATCTGCTGGATGTGGTAAGCCATGAGAATTTGGTTTAGGTGACTAAATTAGTAGGCAGACCCTTCAAAGATAAAAGGAAGTAAGTAGTAAGTCTCAAAAACTTTTTAGTAATATTTCCCCCTTACCCCATTTAGCCCGTTCCTGTTGCACGAAAACTATCTGCCCGTGAACAGCGAGACTGTGAAGTTATTGAACGACTCATCAAATCATATTTTCTTATTGTCAGAAAGAATATTCAAGACAGGTTAGTGTTTACTTAATATAAATTACAGACTGTAATACCACTGAATGAGTTCATCACCTGTTTTGAAAATATATGTATTTTAAAAATTTTAAGTTAGCTTTTTAAAAAATATTTTAAAGTTGTTGATGGACCCTTATTTATTTGTATGTGGTGCTTAGAATCTAACCCAGTGCCTCACACATGCTAAGCAAGCTATAACCACTGAGCAATAACCCGAGCCCTAGGTTAGCTTTTTATCCTAAGTCAAATGGATTCTCTGATAGACATTGAGTAACTATTGCAGCAAGATTTAGATAGTCTAACATAGACTGACCTGATGTTATCAGAAAACGCTATTAATAGATATTCTTTTGTTGCATTCATTGCCACATTGTTATTTTAAAAGTTTTTTTCCTAAATTTAATGTTGTAACTTCATTAATTATTTGATTCTCTGAAATACCAAAACAAACCTCTTTGGGAAATACATTTTTTCATTCTAATTCAGAATGCTTTTTCTTGTGTTCACTGCCTAATGTTGTTTCTTTGGTGTGGCATGTGATGTTGTTTCATGCAGTAATAGAGATGAAAATCATTTAGCTTTGTCTATTAGAAAATATTCTGTATGTAATTTGTGGGAATCTGTTGGAGGTAAGAGAAATCTGTACAGAGGTATAAAAAGCCAAATAACCTGGTAATTCAAAATCGAAAGTAATGATTTTATCTGTAAAATCTGTTATCTTTTCACCTATAGAATCTTTTAACTTATAGCTCGTGGGAGGAATAATTATTTTTACATTGTAGATTGAACAAAATTCCAAAAAGGCCCTACTTTTGTTTCTCTGATTGTCCCTATCTTCTACAGAGGTCTTTGTTATTTTTAAGAATTTAAATACCTTAAAATTGACTGTTTAAGTATTCTTTACAGTGATTTTTAACATCTTCAGAAAGGTATATGATGCTAACAATTAATTCTATAACATTTTCATTAACCCATAAAGAAATCCTGTACCTAATAGCAGTGACTTCTCACCCTCAAACCACTGACTTAACATCTCTATGGATTTGTCTATTCTGGACATTTCATATATGTGACAACATACTAATATGTGGTCTTTTGTGTCTGGTCTCTTTTCACTTATCACATGTTTTAAGGTTCTTCTACAGTGTAGCATGAATCAATACCTAATTCATTTTTATGGCTGATTAATACTAGGTTATATGGAGATACCATATTTTATGTTTCCATTCATCAGTTTGAGATAGGAGTTTTTCACACTTTTTAGATATTGTGAATAATGACAGATGAAAAAACATAAAATACCAAGAATTTCTTATGTTTGATTATAATTATGCAAAAATTTGAAGGGTAATTATGCATTAAGGAAATATTCTGAGGCCAGAACCTAAGTCAAAGTTTTTAGAAGTAGAATTTTTACCCAGAGTTCATAATTTGGTTTTGTTTTGCAGTGTGCCAAAGGCAGTAATGCATTTTTTGGTTAATCATGTGAAAGATACTCTTCAGAGTGAGTTAGTAGGACAACTGTATAAATCATCTTTATTGGATGATCTTCTGACTGAATCTGAGGACATGGCACAGCGTAGGAAAGAAGCAGCTGATATGCTAAAGGTAGGTATTTCAAGTTTTTTCAATTTTTTTTACTTAGATTGTAGATATACTCATTCATATAGTATAAAATACATTCTGATCCTTAGATATATATAGTTTTATATTATAACTGGGTTTTTTGTTGGTGGTCCTTAAATAGATTCAAATTCCAGAAGAGGTATTAGTTAGTAAAAATCTACATAAAAAGTGGAGCAGTTTCTCTACAAAGTTCAGATTAACATCTAAATATTAATGTAAATTTAAAAAGCATTTAAAAGTTTTTATTTCTTTTAATGTAGGCATTACAAGGAGCCAGTCAAATTATTGCTGAAATCCGAGAGACTCATCTCTGGTGAAGAGAACTATGTAACACTGAGACTGTTGACTCGAAACCTGCTAGTTACTGCCTACTTGAGTAGAATTTTATTTATGAACTCCTGTGTATTGCAATGGTATGAATCTGCTCATGTGAAGATTGGCTATACACTGAAAAGTATACTCTGCATCACCGAACAAATCACATTTAATCCAAATAATAAATGGCTGTTTCTAAAGTTTCACAGTATATGTATATATATACACACACACACACACACACACACATCTCTCTCTCTCTCTCTCTCTCTCAACAGTTTCATTTGAACTGTTGGTGTTCTAGTTGTACAAAGCAGTTTGTCTGTGGATAAAGATGACCCGTGTAGTCTGTTAGTAGTCTTAAAGCTGCTGCAATAGTTCTTCAAGAAAGCAGAAGACATTTCATGAGACTTATAATGCATGCACTGTATAAACTGACCTGGTTTTGAAAGATGTGGGTTGGCAAGTTCCTCACTGTATTCCACCTGTCCTTCAATTTAGTTTTAAAAAATCCATGCAGCCTTTGTTGTTAATAAGAAAGCTGAATGCGTAAGAGAATCTGGAATACTGATAAAGATGCAGGGTACATACTGTGCAGTCACATAGCCCTTCCCCTTCTGGGTCCACATTGCCTAGTGCATTAAACTTAGACCTGAAAACTAATTCTCTGCATTGAAACCATGCAGACTTAAATTACTTTGTAGACTCAGTAATGATGGCCAGTTCCTTAAAGTTAACCAATGACAATAAAATTACCCTTAGTTTGCAAATAAGTAATAGTAATTTAGATATATCTTTTAAATGGGACATTAACATCAGGATTCAAAATTCACTAAAAATAGACCGATTTTTAAGTCCCACTTCAATTTGTTGGTAATAGGTACTTTTGCTCCATACCAACAAAATATATTAGAATAGTGATATGAAAATCTGACGGAACCTTGTTAAAGAAAAACATCTAGACACACCTACTTCTAAAGGCATATAGGATATTAAATTGCATTCAGGGGGTGAGAGTGAGGTTTACAACTTGGTGAAAGTTGCCAGGTGATTCTTGGCATGAACTACAAAATTAAAACCTTAAAGATATGTAGAAATGTCTACTCCATCTCTAACAGATTACACAGTAAGTAAAAGTTGTATTGCAAATATTAAACTTTCTTTTCGGGTTATGACCAAATATTTGTGAAGAATTACTGGCAGGAAAGATATAGTATGTTAACTTATGGTACCCATTTACTGAGAAACAACAAACTTGCAACTGATAGATCCCATACACATATAAAACAATTAAAATCAGTCTGACATATGGTACTACTTTGAATCTGTTTACAGTACCAGCTTGACAGTGGATGCATGCTCCCAAAATGTTAGCACATTCAAAAACAAAATCACTCTTGTCACCATTGAAGATCAGTTTTGAAATTATAGCCACCCATGATTTTTTTTTTTTCCCAGAGAGATCAGATGACTATCATTGTAGCCTTTGAATTTGTAAGGGAAAAAAATTATAATGCACCTTTCTCCAGCACAGATTTTAAACTGAAAAATGTTAGCTTTAAAAACATGCTATGGTAATGCACTTGCTAGTACTACACATTTTGTAAAAAGAAAAAAAGCAGCAAGAAACTTTTGGAAAGAAACAAGCCTTCCTTTGTTGGCCCTTAAACTCAGAGAGGTTTCTGAAGTGTGGAGATGATCTCTGGCATATTTATAAATGATACCTGTATGTTTTTGCTGTGTAAATAAAATTGCTGGTATGAAATGATATTTAAAAAGTTTGTCAATAAATGAATTCTTTCTAATTTGTCTCAGAGACAGGTTTAACTATAGCTTTTTAACATCTAAATCTACTTTAGAACCCAACAGTACAACTTACATTGTAATTAAGGTTTTATGACTTTCCTATTAGTCTTTCACAATCACTGTTATATCTCCATTTCTGCATTTGTGCACCAAGTAATCCAGGTAGTGGATAGCTGGAATCTGAACACGAAAGCCAAGCTATGTGGCATGTAAGGTTTTCAGAAGAATTCTGATCATTTTGTGTGTTTCCTTTGATCCTCGTAGAAATGATTTTTCAAATGTGGAAACAGTTCTGGAGAATTAATATAATATGTCTAATGTATGCAGAGCTGAACTCAGTACAGATTCCAAATTTCCAAATCCAAGTTTGACCTGAAAATTTCCCTTACCTGGATATCTTGATGTTCTCACATGATTACATTTTTGGTGAAATATTTACATTATTTTACTTCCTTGGTTTTATGATTTCTGTTTACTTGAAGTTATAATCTACCTGGGAACAGATGAAACTAACTGGAGACACAGGAGGCTGTGGCAGGAGGATCGCCAAATTCAAACCCAGCCGCAGCTATGTGGCAAGGCCCTAAACAACTCAGGGAAACTCTGTCTCTAAAAAATGTAAAAAAGGGTTGGGGATATGGCTGGGTGGTTAAGCACCCTTGGGTTCAATCCCTGGTACAAAAAAGAAAAGAAAAAAAAAAAAGAAATGCTACCCTTAGGAATCCACTGACAAAAGAAAGAAGGCTGTGAACAAATAATACTGAAACCATAAGCAAGAGACTGGAACACTGAATTAGAAACTTTCTGGAAAGTCAAGTATTGATTTTTGTGTGTTTTTTTTTTTTTTTTTTGAGAAGAACTTGTAAGTAATTTATAATGTTAGCTATGGCCTCATCTAACATTTCTCTTTTTTTAAAGGAGAACTCTGCTTCTTAACAAAAAAGCCAGAAAATTATGTTTCCAATAGGTTTTCCATTTCTAATACGGACACCAGAGATACTGCTAATTTTATAACAACTATGTAATACTAGTGGGATCAGTGCTCAGTTCCTGACATAAAAGTATCACAATTCTTTTGTTCACTTTTTTTTTCTTTGGTACCAGGGATTGAACTCAGGGGCACTTGATCACTGAGCAACATCCCCAGCCCTTTTTTGTGTTTTATTTAGACACAGGTTCTCACTGAATTGCTTAGGACCTTGCTAATTTGCTGAGGCTGGGTTTGAACTCTCAATCCTCCTGCCTCTGCCTCCCGAGCTTCTGGGATTACAAGTATGCACCACCATATCCAGTTTTTGTTCATTCTTATCACTCCAAAGCAGAACAAGAATGATGGGGACATAGAAAAGGCACCATTTAGTTTTTTGTAAAGCAGAATCTTTAAAATATTAATCCTGGGAATCATGGTTTTCTGTGGTGGTCCTTAATGTTTCTGCCATCAGGAAATAAACCATCATTAAATAAACAACTTATTTATTAACCAATCTATAAAATAATTAAATTACTCACATTGTGAGGTCTGATATATATTCCATTCTCTGTTTTTTGTTCTGAAGCCAACCTTTCATGTTTTGAGAATGAATGATGAGTAAGTTTGAACAACCAAAAGGATTTTTCATCATAACTGAAGCCATTTTATAATGTAGAAATTCCTTTTTCCTATTTTAAGTAAGGAAAGTCCATTCTTGAGAATATGTTGTCCAACAACTAAAACACACTCGGGATTTGTTACTTGTCGATGATTTATACTGACTCCACCTTCTGTTATCATTCGATACCTAAAAATAGAAACGTTTAGTAACTAGAGAGATCAATCACTGTTGACCTCTCCCCCAAAAGATATATCACTATTTCACAAGCTCTTTAAGTTTAACCATTTAGCACTGAATTTTTTACACTTCATGTTCATTTGATTTGACTCTACCTCCCTTTAATGACCTTCAAAAGAAGCAAATAATAGGCAAAACAGTAGGTTTCTTGTTTCATGGATAAAGAGAGGTAGGTTATTTCATAGCTTTTCACAGAACTATCCAGTTTGATAGTGCCTTTAAAAATTAAGATGAACAGGAATGAAGGTTCATTTTCTGGATAGCCTGCTACCCACCCTTCTTTAGGGAAAAAAGTCAGAAAAGAAACTTCCAAAAGAGAGACAGCAATGGTGCTTTAGTAAACTACCTCTGAGACACAAGACAACTACAGGGCAACCTACAAAAGTGTAGGTTGCTTATAAAATCGGGGCGAGGGTTGTGGCTCAGTGGTAAAGTACTTGCCTAGCACGCCTGAGGCACTAGGTTCAATCCCCAGCATCACATTAAAAAACTAACAAAGTATTGTGTCCATCTATAACTAAAAAAAGAGAAAAAAAATCCTTACAAATTACATTCTGAGACAGCAAAAAATAGCAAATTGTTTAAAAGGAAAAACTTTATTTCCTTTTATTTTAAAAATAAAGAGGCTAGAAAGAGGGTTTTTTTTTTTTTTAAAGAGAGAGTGAGGGGAGAGAGAGAGAGAGAATTTTTAATATTTATTTTTTAGTTCTCGGCGGACACAACATCTTTGTTGGTATGTGGTGCTGAGGATCGAACCCGGGCCAGCGCGCCACCGCTTAAGCCACATCCCCAGCCCCTAGAAAGAGGGTCTTGAAAGTATGAAAGAAAGGCAAATGTTTTTTCTTATAATTAACTATATGGCATTTTATAAAACTCAACAATAAAGGACTTTCTATTTAAAGACATTATTATTTTAGGCTGTTTCCAGATCATGTACCATGTTCATATTAATTAATTCAATTTAATTCAATTAATTAATTAAAGCCATTCATTATGAAATGGATATCAAGAGCTGAGATAGCCTAGCTCTTTTTCTCTAGTAAACAAATACACAGATTGACCCTAGTTAGTTTATATAAAAATACAAATGAATATTACTTAGAACCCTTTCTTACCTAAGTAGGAGTAAAACTTTCAGTATCAGAAAATACACCATACAAAAGAATAAATGCTTCCAGAGTGAAGAAAATTCTTAAAAACAGAAGAGTATGTACATAGAGTAGAGTATATATGTATATGATACTACCATCAAATTCAATGTATATTAAATAAACTAGTATATTAGACAATGGGGAAATTGGGGGCTCAAGGATAGAGGCAAATAATCCAAAACAACTGAAAGAGCAAGTATCAAATATAACAAATGTCACTCGTAACCATGAGCTGATAACTATTTGACTTCTGCTCAAAGAAAGTCCTGAAGATGAAGCACTCCAGGTCTTATGACTAATGCTTTCCTTCTACATTTCCTTCCTCAATTTTGAATGAACAAGTGTCAATTATATGCCAAATTACTTCTTGTGGAGCCAAGTATTATTCCTTAATAGTATGGGTTAACTGAAATTTAAAATATTCTACCCACTTCCTGAATAAGGAAAATGCAATTCCCAAGGAGAATATTATATAGTTTATATTACCAGCCTCATGAAATTCTATCCTGTACTTATTTCATTTTAATAAATTCAACTAATATTTTAAATAGGTTGGGAAACTTCTACTGTTCCCCAAAATAATGAGCATCAGAATATGAGAGGAGTTGTATGAATTTAATCACTTCTCAAATTGTAACCGTGTCCCTCAGCTGACTAATCCTAGTGCATTTACTAAACAAGGCAGTCCCTCCAACATAAGATCTCCCATGCTGAAAAACTGACTTAACAAGAGAGAAGTATAGAGTACTGTACTTCACAGAAAAATGTATGGTATTTTCATAAATACTCAGTTTTTATCTTATTCTTGGATCAACCTAACTTCTATAAGGAATGAAATGCCATTCAAGCATTGTTGGGGAAACACCCTGTCTGGGAACACATCCTATAGAATGTCACATTTAATCATGAATTAACTGTGAATCAAAAAATTAAAAAACCTTACCCTCGGGGACCATCTGGAATGGCATTTGCTTTGCGGCATGTATCTAGGACACTTGTTCCAGGGTCAAGAACTAATTCAGAAAATGAAGCTTCTTTAAACAACTCTTTTAACTCTTGATCCGACATGACCTCTAGTGCATCTATACTACTATGATAAAGGGCTTGTGTACACCTGAAAAAAAACATTTAAAAGCCACATCATGTAAGTGCTTAATCAAATACATATTCTAATACTCATTACTCTAATAATGGAGTGTCCACTATGTTGCAAACAAGTTTTTCAAACAGCAGCATCTATCATGTATAATTCATAAACTTCATGCAAGATAATCTTTCCAATAAAGAGGGACGATTTTAAGTACTTAAGTCAAATGACAATCCTTGTCAGTGATAAATGACAAGATAACTGTAAAATAGCTCTAAATTTTCTCAAGTTTATCAGATAAATAACTTTGTGAGGTGTTAATTATTCCAAAGGCTACCTTTTAGCAGAATCCAGTCCTTCTCGTCCATGAACAAGCTTTGTTACTTCTGCAGCAAGTCGTTTCTGAGCACTCCGCTTTTCTGGTTCTTTGACATGCAGCTGCATAATATGGTCAATCTCCGGAAGTGGCAGAAAAGTGAAGAGTTTCAGGTACCTTTAGGATAAGAAATTAAGTGTTACACTTACATCACACACTTAATTTTTCTTTCCAGTTCCCTTACTCTTTAAAGAATACTTTGCTTGGGCTGGGGTTGTAGCTCAGTGGTAGATCACCTGCCTAGCATGTGTGAGGTAATGGGTTCACTCCTCAGCAACACATAAAAATAAAGAAAGGTATTGTGTCCATAAAAAATAAAACATTCGGGCTGGGGTTGTGGCTCAATGGTAGAGCACATGCACGAGACCCTGGGTTTGATCTTCAGCACCACATTAAAAAAAAAAAAAAAAAAAAAGTGAAATAAAGGTATTGTGTTCAACTACAACTAAAGAACATTTTTAAAAATAAAGCATTAAAAAAACCTTGCTTTCTTTTAAATTATTTCTAAATGTGAAAATAAATGTTCAGAAATGTACTAAAAGTAATAATAGATATTTATGCATACACCAGTGGGACTGAAGAAATAATACTATTTTGCTATATTTGTTTTGATCTTTTTCTTTTTTTAATACTAGGAATTGAACCCAGAGGCACTCTTACCACTGAATTTCATCTCCAATCCTTTTTAATTTTTTAATTTTGTGGCAGGGTATCACTAAGTTGCCCAGGCTGGCCTTGAACTTGTGATTTTCCTGCTTCAGCTGCCCCAATCACTGTGATTATAGGAATGTGCCACTGTGCCTAGCTCTATCTTTACTTTTTAAAAGGAATAAAATGATATAGATCTAAATGAAGTTCCCAGCCCCATAACATTTCCTTCCTTGTCCTCAAAGATAACTACTAATCTAAACTTGTGTGCATCATTCCCAAGCATGTTTTTATACTTTTGCTTATGTGCATGTATCCACAAAGTATTGTATAAACACATAAGTGACATAGTATCATTAAATAAATGATACTAATAATATCATTCTTATATGTATACTCTTATTTAACCTTTTTCTTTGGTGAAATATAACACATAATAAACATTAATTACAAACATATAGCTAATGGATCACTATACAGCAAACATCTATATAGCCATCACTTTGATTAATAACAACACTGCCTCTACCTAATGAAGTCCAAATATTTCACATACAAAGTAACGAACGAATTTGCTTTTAATGATAATCACTTTTCTTTTAACATCTCAGTATGCCTTCTTAAACAGCATCACTTAGTTCCCCCCACCCTTTTCTTTTTTAAGCTGGGATCTTGCTAGGTTGCCCAGGGTGGCCTCAAATTCCTGGGCTCACGTGATCCACCTGCCTCAGCTTCCTGAATATGTATGACTACAAATATGCCATTGTGTCCAGCAAGCTTTGCCTCATTTTAAGACTATATGAATTAATGTAATTCTGCAACCTGTACACTCAGAAAAATGAGAAATTATATCCCATCTGATTCAAATGTATGATGTCAAGATCATTGTGCTGTTATGTGTAACAAATTAAAACAAATAAAAAAAAGAATACTGAGAAAACTACTCAGATGTTAAAAAAAGACTATATGAATGAATGAAATATAGAATGTATTTTTGTGTTTGGCTACTTTGGCAACTAAGTTTAGGAGATTCATGTAATGATGTTACATGTACTACATCCCATGCTATGAATACCCCATAATACATTTACTTATTCTGAGTATTTGTGTTATTTCTATTTTTGGACAAATGCTAATACTGCATCTCTGAATATCCTCACTTATTTCTCTCACATGTGCACTAACTTCTGTTGGGTATGTACCCAGCAGAGGAAATGCTGGATCATAGCTTACTTACACATTCAATTTATCTTTTTAAAGTGGCTCTAATTTTATTCTTTATTCTTCCACCACCATGGAACATTTTCGCCAACTGTTATGATTTGGATGTAGGGTCCCCCAAAAAACTCGAGTGTGAGACAATTTGAGAGGGTTCAAAAAAGGATTGGATTGTGACAGCCTTAACCTAATCAGTGAATTAATCACCTGATGGGATTGGTAATTGAAAGCAGGTAGGGTGTAGCTGGAGGAGGTGGGATATTGGGTGCATAGCTTTGGGGTATATATTTGTATCTGGTGAGTGGAGCTGTCTCTCTGCTTTCTGATCATCATATGAGCTGGTTCCCTCTGCCACACTTTCCCACCCTGATGAACAGCCTTATTTCCAGCACTGAGGAATGAAGCCAGTTTCTACGGACTAAAATCTCTGAAACTGTGAGCCTTCAAATAAACTTTTCTTCCCTAAAATTGTTCTAGTCAGATTTTCTTAGTCACAGCAGTCAAAAAGCTAACTAAAACACCAACACTTGGCATTGCTAACTCTCACGGTTAGCCATCATAGAGGGAAAATAAATGTACCTCATTGCGCTTTCATCTTGCAGTTTTCTTCTTAAGGCTGAGGGCTTTTTTTTATGCTTTTGGCCTTTTGGAGAGGAACTTTGCGAAGTGCCTATTCAAGTCTTAATTTTTCTGCTGAGTTCTTTTTCTCATTGGCTTTGAGAAATTATTTTAAAAAATATTTATTTTTTAGCTTTAGGTGGACACAGTATCTTTATTTTATTTTTATATGGTGCTAAGGATCAAACCCAGCGCCTCATGCATGCTAGGCGAGCACTCTACCACTGAGCCACATTTCCAGCCCTTTTGAGAAATTACAAGGTCATCAAGTACATATACTAAAAATAACTAAAAATAACTTCTCCTACTGATTATAGTGACTTTTGCTGAACAGCAGATCTTTATATTCTAATTTAGTCTGATTTAGCAATCTTTTCCTTTTATGTCCCTCTTAAGATCTTTCCCTATCCCAAACTCATGAAGCTACTTTTCTATTTCTAGGAGTTTTACTGTTTTGTCTTTTATCATAGTCACATTTATAATCTATATGGAATTGACTTTCGTATGCAATATAAGGTTGTTTCATTTTTTCTTCCACATCTAATTATTCAAACAATATTTACCGAAAAGACTGTCTTACTCTATTCTCTGCAGTGCCACCTTTGTTAGAAATATGCTAGTCTTTATTCTCTAATTCATCCCATTGGACTCTTTTCTTAACCTTACATTTAAACTTATACTTCAAAGTCATTTTTAGAAATAATGAGTGAGTTTAGTAGAGTTGTCAGATACAAAATTAATATATAGAAATTAAGCTGTCAGGGACAGTACAGTGGTGCACACCTCTAATCCCAGCTACTCAGGAGGATTGCCAAGTCTGAGGTCAGCCCAGGCAACTCAGTGAGAATGTCAAAATAAAAACAAAACAGGGCTGGGGATGTGGCTCAAGCGGTAGCGCGCTCGCCTAGCATGCATGCGGCCCGGGTTCAATCCTGAGCACCACATACAAACTAAGATGTTGTGTCCACTAAATACTAAAAAATAAATATTAAAATTCTCTCTCTCTCCCACTCTCTTCCTCTCTCTCACTCTTTCTTTAAAAAAAAAAAAAAAAAACAAGGGTTGGTGATATAGCTTGGTTTTAGAACACCCTGGGTTCAATCTTCAGTACTGGGTAGAAAAAAAAAAAAAAACCAAGAGAAAAAAAAAAAATCAATTGTTTTCCTATATATCAGAACAGAAAGTAAATTTTTCAAAAAATATCATTTCCTCCCCCTGCAGTGCTGGGGGTTGAACCCAGGGCCTCACACACGCTAAGCAAGCACTACTCTGCCACTGAGCTACATAAGTAGCCTAATATATCAGATTTTTTTTCCTTAATATCTTTATTATTTATTTATTTATATGTGGTGCTGAGGATCAAACCCAGCACCTTGCACATGCTAGGCCAGTGCTCTACCGCTGAGCCACAACCCCAGCCCCTCATATATCAGTTTTTGATACATTAAAACACTAGGACTCTATCATCAAGCATGCTAAGAATAAATCTAAAGAAAAAAATACACTTAGTTATTATAAATTTGCAATAAGTCATGATATCTTCCACTCTGTTTTTCAAAATTGTCTTGGCCAATTTTTTGTCCTTTTTATTTCCAGGAAAATCTTGAAATTAGTTTGTCAAGTTTCCTATAAAAGCCTGCTTATATATGATTGGGACTGCAATGAACATACAGATCAAACTGAGAACTGATATCGTCTTATATCATGAATTTGGTATAACTCTCAATTTATGTAGATCTTCTTTATTTTGCTCAATAATGTTTTCTGATATTCTTCAGAAGAGTCTTAAACATTTTAAAAGAATTATTTCCTAAAATAAAAATATTGTATCTTTAAAATAATTTTTCTTTGTTGCAGGTATATTTGCTTTCTCATTATACTCTCTCAAGAGTATAATGCAATGTGAATTAATGAGAAATATCACTTTAAACGTGTTTATGTTACATTCAAGAAGGAAACTATCATAGAATTATACCTGTGAGATGAACAACAGAAAAATAAGCATAGTCAAATTTAAAATCAAAGGAGGGGAAAAAAAAGTAGAACATTCAAGGGATAAACTCCTTGCTAGATATGGACAAAAGTAACTTGGCTGTAAGTTTTCTAGTCAACCACTGTGGTTGTCTGTTTTAATTAACAAAAAGTGTCTAGAACATAGTTAAAATTAGAGTTCTAAAATGTAATAGTTTATGCCTTAAATAAAAATCTAAGTAAAAAATTCCAAGGAACTCTAAAGAGAATACTGGAATTCGAAGAATAAAATTATATGAGCTTATGACATTAATTTTTCTCAGCCAACTATTAAGAACTCACCTTTCAACAGAATCATCTTGCAGTCTCACAAAGAATTGATACAATTCAAATGGAGATGTCTTATCTCTGTTTAGCCAAACAGCATTGCCAGCAGACTTTCCCAGCTTTGCTCCAGTTGTATTTGTAATTAAAGGAACAGTGATTCCAAATACATCTTCTCCAGTCAACCTATACATAAAGACAAACTTCATGATTTGCTTCAGACACAAGTAGTGGTAGGCCGCCACTATTCACCCTTCAGATTTCAGCCTGGTTACTTGCTCCAAGAAAATGTGACCTAAATCTGTATTCTTTTCTCTGTTATATATTGTGACAGCACTCACCCTTCATTTGCACTTGTCATTTTGTCATCCTGGGACAACTGCACGTGTAACTTGAGCAAGCCAAGTAAGTGATTTTGAAAGGTCAGGAGGAAAGACAGAAAGCTGGGTGAAGGGGAGTCAGGAGGAGGCACTCACTAAAGGGGTTGCTTAAAGGGGCGTTTAAATGAGTTTTTCTCAGTAGGACATGGGCTAGCGCTATACTTCATCTTCCTCAAAAAGAGAAAGTCATTAAAATCTACATTACTTGGCAAATATTTGGAGTTGCAAAAAAAATTTATGAGATGCCAATTGGAGACTAGAACTAGTTTCATGGAGAGTGAAAACTAAAGCAAAGTCTGAGGCCCAGTTACCGAAGCCAACAAAATAATTTTCTCAAATAAAAACAGGGCGATTTAAGTGAAACAGTCCCAATTTGAATCTTGAGTAGAGGTCTATTTCCTCTTAAGTTTTGGAATACGCCGCCTGCTCTTAATACCCTTAATTCAGCCCTTTAGTTCTCAATTGCCAATGTCATGAACCCCCTTATGGATCCTTAATAAGGATAAAAACCAATAAGGGCTTGAATGAAGGGCAGCATCCCACCATTCTAGTCAAGAATTACAGGGTGCTAATGTGTAAAGGTAGTTCCTGGATTTCTAAAGGCGCTTACTTGTGGATAAACTCGTATCCAGACATGATGTTGCCCAGCTGATCAGACCCACCCAGCTGGACCCGGCATCCATAACGCTGGAACAGGTAATAGAAGTCATAGGCCTGGAGCACCTGGTAAAAGAACTCGGCCAAGCTCATGCCCTCGGGGCTCTGGAGTCGCGTCTGCACGCTCAGCCGGCTCAGCAGCGTGCCCATTCGGAAGTGGCCACCCACAGCTGCCAGGAAGTCGACCAGGTGCTGCTTCTGGTACCAGGCCGAGTTGTCCAACACCGTGAAGCTGCCCCAGGTCCGCCCATCAGTGAAGAGCTGCTGGTGATTAGCCGCCAGGGCCTCAAGCCCGAGGCGGAGGGCGCGAGCGTTGGCTCGTACGCGCTCCGCATCCAGCGCCTCGCGCTCTTTGGTTCGGCCGCTGGGGTCTCCCAGGCGCGCGGTGGCGCCTCCCACCAGCGCGATCACATTGTGGCCCGCTCGCTGGAAGTGAAACAGGCTCAACAGCGCTAGCAGGTGCCCCACGTGGAGCGAGTCCCCCGTGGGGTCGAAGCCGCAGTAGATAGTCTGAGGAGAGTAGCCCGTCGCGCTACGGTCGAACAGCTGTGGGAGCTCTAGCTTCGTACCCCTCTCGGGGAAGAAGTCCTTGAACAGACCCCGAGCCTTCTGCGCCGCTAGTAAACCCTGAGCGCCCGAGTGGGCCTTGCGCAGCCCCAGAGCCAAAACTCCTGACAGGCCTGGGGTCCCGGACCACCAGCACCGGGAAAAGCACCGCAACATGGGCGCCGCCATCTTGGCGGCGGCACGAAGGGAATGCTGGGCTGTAAGAGGCCCGCCACGCCCCTCAGTGCCCGCCTTTAGCAGCTCCTGTAGTGTTTTTCTGCGCATGCTCGGGAAGGGCGGGAGGCGGTTACTTAGTTACGGAACCTGCGTTCTGCAATCCCTGGAGTTCTGATTATATCCATTCCAGCTAGTTGGCTTCAAGTGGTCACTAAAATGTAATTTCCTCATTTTCCATGTGGATATGTTTATAATAATAGTTCCAAACTCACAGCCCTGTTGTGAGGATTAAGGACTAAAGCACTGGGCACCTAGCACTCTACAAAACGTTAACTTTGTAAAAAGTTGTGCTGCACAAATTCTTTGAAGCCTTGTTTCTCTGTAGAAACCTGCCTCAGGGGTTGTGAAAAGTTAGGAGCTGATTTAACTTCATGGGGAGATGGAGTTGGCGTTGAGACTTCATCTCACAGTACCGATTCCCTAAGTGGGAACCTCAGCCCCTAGTGTTCGCTAGTTTCTCCTGCAGGTGGCAGCCTCGTCCATGGTATGAAAGAAAAGTGAGCACAGTAAGTGAAATGCACAACTCCTGGCTTATTTATTTATTTAACCACAGCTGGGCACCGCCCTGCAGGAGTGGATTCAAATTACTAATCACATCACCTCAGCATGGCAGGTGCGGCTCACCAGGGACAGGATTCTAACTAGCAGCGGGCTGGCAGGTGATCCATTCCCAAATCCCTTATTAGAATCTGATTTTCAGGACCATTTTCAATACGAACTATCTTAGGGTGGGTTCCCAGGACTACAAGTTGGAGATTTGTATGCCGGAGGATTATTGTGTCCTTTTGTGAGCACCACCTGTAATGGAGCGAGGGAAGCAGATCTGGCAGAGAGAGAGGACGTACTGTGAACAGTTGGCAACCGAGAACTCAGATGATTCCGTGAAGGCTCCGGAGCTGGGATTTCCAAGTTATACGAATGGAAGCAATCGGTAGAAATTATGCGGTCTTATTTTCTAGTCATTAGAGGTGGAATGACCCTGGGGAGGAGACAAAACCGTGGGCAAGTCTTTTGGTGGAGGGCCACTGCAGAAAAGGCTCAACTGTGAGTCATCAGCAACCGACAGTCCCAGCAGCTGCAGGGATTGAGTGCCTCCTCCTGGGGCAGGGATCTGGACCAAGCCCCAAACCATTCCCCGCAAGACCTTTCAATTTCTTAATATTAAGTCATTTAAATAAATAAAATCTTATTTTAATAATTAGTTTCTTTGCATGTGTAATTATCAATGAATTGAATTTCTCATTACCAATAGTAACTTCAATAGGATTTTAAGGTACTCATTTAACAAGTAGTACAACATGAGCCCTATTGATGAAGAAAATAATCAGAATGTGTTTTTTCATGTTGCTGTTGGATCCACAATCTTTATGTCCCATCAATTTGATAAGGGACTGATTTCAATATGCATAGCTGGAAATTCTTCTGAGCACTTAGCAGATACTAGGATTAGTACCTAACAAAAGGGAAGAACTGAACGTTTTTCCAGGGGACTTATTCTTGAGGCTTCTGGTCAATATGACACATCCCTATCTGTGGCTTTTTAAGATGTGTTAGCAATTTTATACCAGAAAGTATGACTTCACATTGCGGTCTTCTCAAATGGCTTCAGTGTTGCTAGTATTCTTTTTTATTTTTATTTGTTCTTTTTAGATGTACATGGCAGTATAGTGTATTATGACATATTCTACATACATGGAGTATACCATCTTCTAATTTGCAGTTGTACATGATGTGGAGTTTCATTGGCTGTGTATTCATATATGAACAGGAAAGTTATGTTGCTATATTCGTGAAACCCACACTGTAAATCGTAAAGACTCTTCCCACACAGCCCATTCTCACCTGTAAAACAATTGCTTCCCTTTCATTTCATACTAATTCCAGGAAATTCCTCTCTGTTGGGTTGAACAAGGGAAAGAAGCTTTTTACTATCCAGGCTCACTACACCCCTAAATGTATTAGAATATGAAATCAGTAATGTTTATTCTTACAAAAAGGACTAAATTCTATTAAAAATACAAATTCATGTAAGCCCAGTGCTTTGAAACCTAGTTTATGTCCTTTGAAGTAGCTCTAATGTTTTTTGAGCAGGTGATTATCTTAACATCCAAATATTTTATACAAGAGATTTAACTTAAGCTGTCAGTTGCAGGAGGAAAATTAGATAAAGGAAAAAAAAAAACCATGATTGCTTATGCATTTCCTTTCTGTATTAGAGAGTTTAGAGAAGCATACAACCAGTGTTCTTTCTCTTAAGCTGTTTCTTTAGCCTTGGGTGCAATCTGAAGGTCTCAGAATTGCCTCAATAGTATCTTCCTGGTCCTGTGCCCAGCTGGCTTGATAATATTTTGAGATAATTAGTTTTTTTGTAATTTACATTTTCCAGTCTATCTATTTATGTTCGTAGCACACCAGCATCTTTGGGAAGTTACAAGTTAGGGAGAGACACAGAGTTAGCTGGGAACTTATTGCAGTTCTTATTTCCAAAGGTTAAAACCCTAAGACAGAATAAAATCTGAGGAATAAACTTAGAAAAACAGAAGAGAAAGAAATGGGTTCTCCACTTTAAATAGGGCCCCGACCTCTTCAGGGTAAAAGAGCCTAGGCTGTTGACCCCATTTGCCAGAGGAACTGTGTTTGCACTGTGCCCCAGACTTATAGAGGTGGCCTCCTGACACCCTGCAGGCCTGGGGCTGTAGTCTCACCAATGTTCCTCTGCTCTGGCTGAGGCAGGGGAGCAAGCTGAGTGCCAGCTGGAGGTCTCAGAAAACCACTGGAGGCTTGGCCAATAAGGATAGCTAATGTTATGGTTTGAATGTGTCCCCTGGAAGCTCATGTGTGAGACAATGCAAGAGGTTTACTGGAGAAATGACTGGGTTATGAAAGATTCAATCCCATCAGTGAATTAACCAATCCCATGATAGGATTAATTGAGTGGAAACTGAAGGCAGGTAGTGTGTGACGGGAGGAGGTGGGTCATTGGGGGCATGTCTGTGGGGGATATATTTTGTATTTGGCAAGTTGAGTTTCTCTGTCTTTCTGATTATCATGTAAGCTGGTTCCCTCCACCACACTCTTTAACTTTGATGTTCTGCCTCACCTTGGGAGCCTGCAGTCTATGTATTAAGACCTCTGAAACCGTGAGCCCCCAAACTTCTCCTCTTCTCCAATTGTTCTTGTCAAATCTTTTAGTCATAGCAGTGAAAAAAGCTGACTAAAACAGCTAGAATGAACTGGATAGATTGAAAATAAAAGTTATTACTTCTTGGGCAACCATGATCAAATTTCAGTAAAATCCTAGAATGGGGGAGGAAATCCAGTCATATTAGAGAAGCAATTTCCAACCATTTTGGTGAATTAAAGATATGGAAGTTTATTTATTCATTTAACAAGAATTTATTGGTACTGGGGATTGAACTACTGATGACACAGTCCTTTTTATTTTTTGAGATAGGGTCTCCTTATATTGTTAAGGTTGGCCTTGAACTTGCCATCCTCCTGCTTCAGCCTCCCAAGTAGCTAGGATTACAGACTTATGGGCTTCATGCCTGACAACAAATATTTATTAAAAATATTTGACGAGTCAAGTGCTGTTTTAATGGCTTAGAACGTGTTCATGACCCAAAGAAAGATCCTTCCCTCATGGAGGTGGAATTGTTCTATGAAGTTGTATTTCTCTGAGTAGACCAGTTCTCCATTAACCACTCTCTGATCGGGGATCTTTTCCTCCCCTAATCCTTAAAGCCGAGTGAGGGAATGAGACGCCAAGGTAATGAGTCAGGAACAGGCTGAGGATGGGGCTGTGGTACAGAAATATTTGTTGGATGGATACGCCTTCAAAAGGGTGGTGCTTGACAACTGGAGATCAAGTGCTCTGAGCCACAGAACTCAAACTATTCTTCCTCTTTCAATCTGCAGCTGTTTCTCTTCACAATTGCTTTACTGAATCTTTCTCCTCACACTGCCTTGTACCCAGCATGCTTGTCTTTGGCTCTGAGCTCTGTGATGACCAGTGCAATCCTCCTAGCATTTTGTTTTACAGTCTCTTTGGTCAGGAGCATCATTTAGGAGTGACTGGCAAGCAATGGAAGCAGCTCATCTATTTGCCAATGTGGTGGAAAAGCAAGCTTCCTTAGAAACCAGATCTTGCAGAGACTAGGTGTGGTTGCATTTTGAAAAGCTTAGTTAAAAAGGATAATATCTTGTGCTGGGATTGTGGCCCAGCGGTAGAGCACACTCGCCTAGCACTGATGGGACCTGGGTTCTTTCAATCAAAATAATTTTGGAATTTTTTTCTTTCTCAAGTTACTATAGTAATTTTCTGGTCTCTGATACCATGTTCAAGCAAATCCATCAACTCAGCATTGTCCAATTGAGGCCAAGTAAATTTACAACTCCATTGGAGAGAGAAAACAATAAGCCAATGTTTCATAGAACATTTATATTTTAATTAAATTTATTTTTTTGTCTTTTTTTTGTGCTGTCTTCAACATACACTTTGTTTTGCTGATGTAAATACTGAATGGCCAATTATTTAATAAGAAGCAAGTCTGGAAATATCTTCTAACTACCCTTCTGTAACATCAGAATGGAATCAAATGCCTTGTATTTATTTGCCTCAAGCAGAAAAGTCAAACATGACTTCTTTCATTCTCACAACAACAAATTAAAGTTTTGAGTTCTCTAAAGACCACCAAACTAGGACTCATAGATAGGGTGATTGACTCAGCTAATTTAACCAGCTGTATATTCTTAGATTAAGTCATTTAACACTCAGGGCCTTTTAATTTATTTATTAAAAAATAAGTGGCCTGGATTAGGTTAGCTCTAAAATCTTATTCAGCTCTAAAATTAGGAAATGCCTGTTGCATTACTCAAAGATCATATGTATTATTAATTTTACCTTCATTATTTAAGCCACCATATTAGCAAGGAAATTAAAAATGTACATATCTATTTCCTCCTCTACTGAAATTTGCTTAAGTAGTAGAAGCCA